AGAAAGAAAGAAAGAAAGAAAGAAAGAAAGAAAGAAAGAAAGAAAGAAAGAAAGAAAGAAGGCGCATGTTTAAGTAGGGTATATTTCTCCCCATCCCTCCTCCCTCCCTTTCCCCATTTCCGAGATGCCCCCTCCACCAGCAAACACATGGCTCCGGGCAGGAAGGGTCTTGCCCAGCAGCAGCACGAAGAAGCCGAGCTGTCCACGGAGCTGCCGACAGTGCGACAAAGGTTGCCACAGGGCGGTAGGCGCCATCGTAGCCTTGGCGAGGTGGCCTAAAATGGGGGGTGGGGGCAAGATGCTGACATTGCAATTTGAAATGGCAAGATCAAGTCTCGCATGCTGAGTTTTTTTGCCCCCTTCACTAGAAAGCTGGGTTAACACAAGGCGCTGAGCCAACATAAGGCTTGTATGAGCCCCGACGTTCTGGTTCCTAGACCACGAGTTATGGCCTAGAGCTACTGTTGACCCAGGCAGTGGTAGTTTTCCCCCAAACCACGTTTATCTGCTCGTGGCTTAGTACGATGCCATCTCTCAGCCTAAGAATACGGAACATCCAAAGGTCAGGGCCACTCAACCCGCTAAGCTACAATCCATCTCGAGTCTGGGCAGCCTTTTGTGCCTACGCAGCAGCCACTGAACCCGCAATCCCTGGGCTTCCTACTTCTTGCCTTGGGAGGAAGCCCTGGCAGAATACAAGGACACTTACTTCGAAGGAAGCAGATGGGGTTGTCCCTGGAGGCAGCGAGGCCCACTTCCCCGGGCAGAATGTGCGTGGTCCACCTGAAGGCCCTGGCGTGAGTGGCTGGGCTCGTGCCTCCCTTTGACCAGGGTTGACTGATATGCTAGGACGGCAACAAGGCATTTGCTTGGAAGGGTGGCCTCCTTCCCCTCTTGTGACCTGGCTCAGCCTAAGGCTCCATAACCCCCTTTTGGAAGCCCCACATTTATCTCCACTTCTTCCCAGCAGTTGTCTCTGCTCCGCGCTTCGGGACAGGCAGGGATTTCACGGGCTGAGGGGCTGCAGATAGTCGGCGTCGTCAAGGTTTCACACATAAACCCGTTTACCTCCACCTCAGCTCTTGGCATGGGGGAGGGGGTCTTAATTAGTTCTTCCACAATTAGGCGACGTGTCCCTAACAAAAATCTAAGGCTGTTGTTGACTGGTTAAAGTTCAGTGAGTGAACCGCCTGCTTTTTTAGCAGATTGATTGATTGAGTAAGCTTTTAAAACAAACATTGCTATTT